CACAAAAACACACAATGAGCTGGGCGGTGGGGGTGTCGAAGGTTGCAAAGCAGCTTTTTGCAATAATTATCTAACCGAAAGCAGCAGAGGCAGTGGCATTCAGGCAGTATTTGCTGGGCAGACCGAATGCTCAATTATGAAAACGTTGCATACTTTCAGGTGCGAGCTGCAGCCGACCCCAAAAGACTGCCAGAAGGGGGGAGTGTGGATGTGCGTGTGGCTTTTTGGAAGAACAGGGAATTTTCGCAACCTAATTAGGATTCAATTTATTTTCGCTCTGCACAATGGAGTCGGGTTTAATATCTCATACTCGCTCTTACTCTCTCTCTCTCTCTCTCTCTCTCGGACATACAAGAACCGCAGGGCTGCCAAGGCTACCTACAACTTTGACCTTTTTAACAGCTGGCTGGCTGCCTGCTGCTTGCTGCCTGGCTTTGTGTCAGGTGCAACGCACAAGTTTCTCCAGTTACAAGCAACATGTGGCATGTGGCTGCTGACAAGTGCAGCCAGCCGCCGCAGCATTAAATATGAGAGGAGGCAGCCACAGGACACGACTCAACTCGACAGGACAGCACACACTTTGTGTGTGCGAGACATAAACAGGCGCTCAATCAAGCGCTAGATTTAATTAAATTCCAAACTCTCTCGATGAACATCAATCGCAAATAACTGTGTTCGAGAATATCTGCCCGAAGCACAGCGGAAAAGTTTGAAATTTCAGCGGGAAATCAAATTAATCTGCTCCCACACACACACACAGATCCATTCGCATTTGCATTTGCATTTCCCCCATTTTCCACACCAGTAAGAGAAATCGCTTTTTGTCACGAAAAACGAATGACCAAAGTAAATAAGGCCACAAAAACTGATTAACTGTGGCACCCACACATCCACATACTGTATGCATATGCCACATGCTGCATGGCAGGACTGTGACCAGAGCTGGCCAATATGTTAGCAAATTCAATTACAAATTTGCAAATTTAATGAGCTTAAAGGCTTAATGCCGAGCGGAAAATCTACAAAATGAAAACTGCACGCTGCCACTCGAAGGTTTTTCCCAATGCCAGACGCTGCCTAGTTTAGTTTTTTTTGTTTATACCGGGTACTCGAAGAGTAAATAGGGTATATTGTATTTATACACAAAGTATGTAACACACAGAAGGAAAAGTTTCCGATTGGATCATTATTATAGCAACAATGAAGAAATTAATTTCCAGTTGCTAAACCCACACCGTCCCGCAGCATATATTTGTTTTTTTCACATTTTTTTCACAGATGAAGAAAAAAAGTTCAATTTGACAAAACACCGCTTAGGTGCAGAAGTGGTACTGAGTGCCGGGTATAAAAGTTGTGACGCGTAAGAAGCGTCTCACACGTCCCTTCTCGTTTGAGTAGGATTTAAATCCAAATTTTGTTGTTCCAGAAACTCTTGTTTGTAAAAGCAACAATTGATTGCGGCTTAAATTGTATTCACCTGATAGCATCTTTTCTACGTCTGTTTTTCTCGATTTTACTTGTAGAGAGAAAAAAAAAACTTGTAGATTGGCATAGCTTCCCTCTAGCTGCGTTTTATGCTTGATTTTTGAGAGATTTAACCGAAACTTTCCTCATGGAATATTTTATTACACTTTTTAGAGTACTCTGCCTCTGTGTTCCTCTTCCCTTGCTTTTAGTTATGGGTGTTTACTTCAAGGTTCTGCATTAAATTTGTCTCCTCTTTGGCTTCACAAAACGGAACCTCTCATTCGTGATAGGAACACACAATTTAAATAAGGTTTCGCCCATATTTCTCTTGAGGTGATTTTTTATACACATGCAACATTCTCAAGGCGTATCCCCAATGAATGTGTGGTGAATGGCAGAGTGGACGGATGGATGGATGCTGATGCAAAGACTGAGTCTCTATGGGGCACAATGGGAGGACGTTGCGGTGCGGTGCGGCGACCACTTGATATAATGATGACAGCAATTATGAATGAGTGAAGGTCGCCGCTGGATAACGACCGGCAGGCAATTCATCATCGTCTTGGGACCATCGCCTGACCCTCATTTCTGAGGGCGGCAGAGGGAGGAGCCACAAGTTTGGTCTAGGCTTAAAGCAGAGCTTTCTTTTGCCTACGTGTTTTGTTGGCACGGCCAATGATGACGTCACCTCACCTCACTCACAGGGCAGGCAAACAATTTGCATGCCAGCAGGTCGTTTACGCTGACTTGCAATTTTTGCTTTGCCATGAGAGTAAAAGTACTTTCTGCCACACAGCCACAGCTCCTGCTGTTAGCTGTGCGTATACTCTGCCTCTCTCTGGAAAGGAAATGAGAGTTAGGGATCGCAGGAGCCATTCACCAAACAAAATACACACGTCATGGGAGGTGGAAACAACAGACAACCACAACCACATGTACAGGTTCCTGTCCCTGCACTGAAAGTAACAATTTTCAAGGAAATCAATCATCCAGAAATAGATCAACTCGTCGTTGGATTTTCTCTGTTTTTAGCCATTGGTTTACCCGGTACTCGAAGAGTAAATAGGGTATATTGTATTTATGTGAATAACGGTTGTATGTAACGCACAAAAGGAAGCGTTTCCGATCCCATAAAGTATATATATTCTTGATCAGTATCAATAGCCGAGTCGCCTCCGCAAAAGGGCGAAAACCTCCCAAGCCAACAGTTTTGAAGATAAAAGAAAACTAAAAACGCCATTCAGTAGGGAATAGCCATATATATCAGATCACCAAATTGGGATCCGATTGGATCATTATTATTGCCAGAATGAAGAAATTAATTTGCAGTGGCTAAACCCACCCTGACCCGCAGCTTTTGTTGTTCTTTTCACATTCTCTCATTCACACTCTGCTTCTGCTTGACTCGGCCTCTGCCTCTGCCGCTGCCTCTGCCGACTTTTAACCCACCCCTTCCAGCAGCTTATATTTGTGTTTTGTTTTGTGTGCTGCCTCTGCCGCGAGTCTGCAGTGTGCGGGTCTAGGGAGGGCGGCGAGCTAACGGAGCGTGTTGGTATGAGAAGTGTTGTACATGTAGATGACAGATGAAGAACAAATTTAAAATTTGACAAAACACCGCTACGGTTCAGATGTAGTACTGAGTGTAGATGTAGTAAAAGTTGTGACGCGTAAGAAGCGTCTCACACGTCCCTTCTCCTTTGTTATTGTTGTCCGCGCACTCTTGTGGCTCATTGCTTTTGGAAACCTCTCCGGCAAAAAACAGAAAACAAAACAACAACAAGAGAGAGAAAATATAGTAGGCAACCTTCAGTCTAGGCGGATAGGGGGAGGGATAGGATTGCCTTTTCTAGGTGATGGTTTATCGGGTTGAATACTGAATGGGAAATATTTTATTTAGGGTTTTAAAGTAATTGAATTATTAGGGAAAATATTTTTGAGCGGTAAGTGGGAAGAACAGAGGATTTTAGAGTTTATAAATAATAGAAGGATGTTCAATGTTAAATCCTATACTATAATTCATTGCCCTAATGTGTACAAATTCCATTCCCAAATTAGAATTAACATCTAAATATCTGCGCAAATATTAATTAAGACAAAAGAAAAGCCTCACTCTCTGTCTCACTCAAATTGCATGCCATAACAACTTTGCAAAAATCGTAAAAAAAGGACAGTTTTTGCCGCTCATTTGGCTAATAGAAGCGCCCCCCTCCCTGCCACATGGAGGCTTAGTAACATGTACTAATTATCGCCTGCTGCATATCGCTGATTCATGGGCCATAATAAACCCAAGAATGAAAAACAGAGAGAGAGCGAAGGGAGAAATGTTATTTTGATATAGCATACAAATAGGCGCCAATCCAAAAACTTTGCTCGACAGCCGACGCCGACATACGCTCCGCGCCATCACAATAAATGAGTCCTTTTCATTCCATCCATAAACCATCTATAGGATCTATTATAAAGTAGGGGGGGGGGGGGGGGGGGGGGGGGGAGAGAGAGGTGGCGGAATGAGACGTCTGGCTGTCAGTCACAGGTGCCACACAGAGACGACGTCACTGTTGCCATTCCACTGACGCCAGCGACACGTCGGTGTCGGTGTCGATGTCGGTGTCGCTCGCGCCAGTTGCTCATTCATTCGTTCGTTCGTTCATTCGTTTGTTTCTTTAATTCATTCACAAAACAAAAAAAATATATACGTATATTCGCTACTATTAATCACCCTACGAGGTGCTCCATTCTCACTCTTCGTTGCTTTAGTATTTGGGCGTCTATTCCGCCACGTTTCTTCCCTTATTTTGCTGCAGAATGAGCTGCTGTCCCCCTTCTGGCAGTAGCTTCTGTTCCCTTCACCACGTTTTTAACAGTCTATTCCTAGCATTCGGCATAACAATAAAATCAAGAGCAATTCCGAACCAACAGTGCGTCACCAGGACAGCACTGCCTGCGGATCCACCAGAAGCTCTCCTTCCACTCCAGGACTCTATTGATTAGCTTCACGTGTCGATAGTTAAACATCCCCTCGAACCCCTCTAGCCCCTTCATTCGCTTGGGTTTCCTGCTTGGGTGCCTTCACTCCTTTTCCACTGGCAGACACGTCTGTAGTTTTTCGGTTTGGTGGGCGGTGGGCGGCGGGCGGCAGCACGGGAGGTGCAGCAGGAAGCCATTTTCATTGGCGTTACGTTAGAAACGTGTTACGTCAACAATGTTAACCAAAGTTGTGCACCACAAGAGGCCACAAGGAGGCAGAACTCACGCTAGAGGCTGTTTACCTTGCGTCAGGTGCTGCCAAGGACTGTGTGGAGGGGGGTTGGGGATTCAATTTGAGGAAAGTCTGCGGCCATTGTAATGGAAATCCAAGATGAAAGGTTTCCCGCAAAGGTTGTAATTATAAATGGCATCCCGTATGGTAATTATAGCCTGTGGGATTTTCCCTTACATTCATTCATCCGCATACTCCCATCCATCAATAAAACTTTTGTGCAAACTTTCAACTCGAAACTAATCCTCTGTATCCCTCGCTAATCTCTTTGCAGCTCTGCCCCAAAATGTCCGACGCGGCCAAGTCCAACAATAATGCGGCGGCCGTCTCTGCCTCCGCCTCCGAGCCTGCAGCTGCGACGCCCGCTGATGAGGCGTCTCCAACCAAGGAGGCAGCAGCCTCACCGACCACACCACGTGGCGTCAACAATCACAACAACAACCACAGCAAGAGCCACAACAAACTGAAGTCGACACAGAACAGCAGCGGCGGCGGCAGCATAGACAAACTGTCGCCGGACCAGGACATCTACATCAATGCCGCCGACGGACTGCCCAGCCAGCATCCCTCGCTCCCGAAGGAGGGCATCATAGACAGCGACACGGAGCCGGAGGTGGACGCAGACTCGTTCGACGACCTGCCCACATCCATTATCGTGACGAACATCCACTCGGAGGTGTTTGCCAATCCGGAGCTGAAGCACGGCATGGAGGAGCTCTTTCGAACCTTCAGCGAAACGGCCACGTTCCAGTGGCTGCGCAGCTTCCGACGGCTGCGGGTGAACTACGACAACGCCATTGCGGCGGCCAATGCGCGGATTAAGCTGCACCAGTACGAGTTCAACAAGAAGACGGTGATCACCTGCTACTTTGCCCAGCCGGTGACCCCCGTGAACAACAAGAACCTCCAGCCTCCGGCTCCGGTCAAACAGTTCCTCATCTCTCCGCCTGCCTCTCCGCCAGCGGGCTGGGAGCCGCGCGAGGAGGTCGAACCGCTGGTCAATCACGATCTGCTGGCGGCACTGGCCAGTCTCACACCTGGAGAATCGCACGAGTTGCATCCGCAGAGCGAGGACCAGCCGGCCATCATTGTGCACACAGCAATGGTGCCAGAGGGAGCTGGCGGCATCCAAGCCAAGGCGCCCATAGTGCAGACCAAGTGTCCGGAGAGGGCATAAGATTGCAGAGCAAGCTAAGAACGAGCAGCAGCAACCTCCTAATGATGGATGATTCCCATCTGAAGTGGGACAGATGGGAGACATTTGATTGAAGTATTTTTTGTAAATATTTTAAATTCAATTTTGTGATTGATTTACACATACAATTTAGCTACGTTCGTTCGTATGTTTATATTATTAGGCACTCAGCTTTGGTTTAGTTTCAGTTAGATTCCTGTCTCTGTCCCCGTCCATGTCCATGTCCTTTCCTCTCCTATACACCCAACCAGCCTTTGCCTCTTGTGTTAGTTTCACATCCTTACTTCCCGTTTTTAGAGCTATTCGAGCATTTAAGACAACGTTTTTGAGGTGCCCCTGCCCTACCGCCCAGTGCTTTGTGGCGGAGCCCTGCTAGCAAGTGCATCTAGATGTGTTTTTCTCTATATCTATTTTCCTCTCTCTCGCTGTCCGTTTCTCTCAATTTGATTGTGTCTATATATGTATGTATATGTGTATAAGATATATCGATGTCCAGCCCCTCTATCTCTCCCGAAGCGCCCCCCTATTCTATATCTATCGAGTATCTATATCTACATGTAAATGTTAATGTAATTCTAAGCCAGCGAAATTTAAGCACCGATATCGCATCAGATATCGGCCAAGCATACGTATATATATGTATTTAATTGAAAATATATTCAAATTCGAAAATGAATGTTCTCAAATGTACCAAAACCTACACACAAAAACCAAACAAAAAACCGAAAAAAAAACCAAAACGAAAAACTCTTTGAAAGAAAACTTTAATTGAAGTGGGAACTGGCACCGAGCATTCCCAATGAATGGAAAGAATCGTTTCCCAATCGACAGACAATTGGAATAGTTGGGGTGGGGAGGTGGAAAACTATTGAAAACTGTAGCCAGTTTCAAGGCCGTGGGGAATCGGATGTTCCACAAACGTACTTATTGTCGTACTTAACTTTAATTGGGCGGAAAAGTGTGCGAAAAAGCAATCGAATTGGACATATGGCATAGCATATTAGATGGACATTCCGTAATGCAAGTCATTTAAGAGGCCGCCTTCGGAATGTGGAAATACTTTTAATGGCAATTTCGAATTGCGTACTGTCACATCCATGTACTTAACTTAATTGGTGGGGCAAAGTGTGCGAAAATCTTGCGAGGAGTAGCATATGACAGGAATTTATTGGTATTTGAATGGAATTTGAATGGAACGGATATGAAAAATGATTCAACTAGGGGGGGGGGGGGGGGGGGGG